GGGGGGGGGGGGGGGAGAAGGTGATCTCTTCCCTGGGTCCCCGCCCCCTTCAAGGGGCAGCGCACCTGACCTGGTCAGGGCTGAGGCGCTCACTTGGAGATCTCAGGGCAAGTCTGCCTCCCTGGTGCTGTCAGCCTGCGGCGGAAGGACTCCCGGTGACCGCGCCGGGCCGGTGGGGACCCCGGGGCTCTAACAGACACCCCGCCCCGCCCCACGCCCGCCGGACTCACAGCGGCCCAGCCTCTCCGCAGGGATGCCGATGCGCATGCAGTTGGCGGCGTCCGGGCTCTCGGGCAGGGGCAGCGCCTCGCACTTGGGCAGCTGCAGCCGCATGAGGATGAGAGGGTTGGAGCGCGCGATGGTGTATTCCTGGCGGCACAGGTCGCTCTCCAGCACCTCGCACTCGTCCCGGCACAGCTCGCGGGGCTTGGGCGCCCGGGAGCGCGCGTCGCACAGCGGGAACACGAAGTGGCAGAAGGAGGGGATGGCGAACTGCGAGCACTGGTCCGACAGGTGCGTGGACGTGCCGATCATGGTGAAGGCCGCTGCGAGGGCGGGGAGACTGGCGTTAGCTGTGGGGGCCCCCGAACCCCGCCCCACCTGGCGCGCCTGGCCCCTGCTCTAGCCAGGTGTTCCCCGCCTGCCCGCGGCCCCCGGCCCCCTCTCTCCTTCCCCGCACCGGGCCCCTCCCAACCCTCCACGCTGTCCTGCGCACACCCGGAAAGGCGCTCACACGAGCAGGCCCCGGGGCCGCGCAAGAGACGCCCCGATCGGCACCGGACACAGAAAGGCCCTGGTCCCCACGCCTCACTTAACACAATCCAAGGGGGAACAAGGAAAACAAGGGTCTCATCCAGCTGGATGCTTTTTCCATCATAGGAAGATCCGGATTTCCGATCCAAAAGCCACTTGCTAGGGCCCTCCTGTGACTTGTGTGGGTAGAGCAGTGACTTCTAGAGGCAGAGATTGGAAAAAAGCACAGGGACCCAGGAGGGAGCCACCGTCTTCCGGCATCCCCGCCCTGTGGGCCTGCAGGCCGACGCCGCAGCCTGGGGAGGTGAGAGGGCACCCCAGAGAATGAAGGCTGTGCCGGACAGATGGACAGGCGGCCAGCCCTGTGAAATGCACCGCAGGAGGAGGAGTAAGAAGACAGTGGCAGAGGCAGAGGCGAGAGGGAGAGCCAGGAAACAGCTGGAAGGTGCTCAACGTGGGAAAGGCGGGGAGGCTTTGTGACAAAAAGAGCAGAGAGGCAGGTAGAGGCAGGGGGTCCGGAGCCAGGATGGGCTCGTTTGCTGTTTAGAGGTAGCACACAGGACGGAGTGTGCCGGGAATGAACCTGACCCCTGATGTGGGGAGAGGATATGGGGTGGGAGCTGCAGGGTGAGCCCTTACTCGCCCCCCTCGGCCATCGGGGCCCAAAGGAAGGCATCAGCCACATGCCCACTGCCAGGAGGCCCATCCCCTTTGACCTGCGAAGACCTGCTTGTAAATTTGATCCGAGGAAGCTGAAGAAAAAGAGGTCCCTTTGCTGGCACACCTTGCAGAGATGGGGAGAAAATGGGACAGGTTGGGATTCAATCCCTGGGACGCCCCAGCTCTACCCAGGACTTGTGGTGCGGTGCCCAGTGTGACCAGCAGGTGGCGCTGCGGGCACCCGTTATCCCGGGGGGACGCGCGAGGCACCCGCAGCAGCCTCAGGAATACGTGAGCTGGTGTGGGAGCCCCCTGCCCTGTTATTTACTATAGGTCAGTGGGTCACTCAGTCCCTTTCTGGTCCTGTGTCTTTATCTGCCAAGTGATTTGTTGAGGCTGTTGAGGCCAAACACTGTGGAATGGATGGCTGCACAGAGCCTGTATGAGCACATGAGGTGCATTCATGGTCCTGCCTGGTCCCTTCCGGTCTATATTAAAATTGAGGACCAGGTTTGGGTGCAGGGTCTCTCGGAGACAGCTCAAGAACCAGGTGTGAACCCAGTTCTGTCCCCTCATGGCAGAGCTGGTGACCATCAGGAGGGCGGTCATGATGTACACCTTGACCGCCAGGCAGAGAAAGATTGTCTAAGAAAGCCAAACCCGGCATTTCTTTTGGGGCGATCAACCAATAGGGTGTCACAGCTGACCCTGTAAGGGTCTCTCCTCTTCCCTCTCTCCCTCAGAACATATCACATGAGGGCTGACTTCCGATCACCCAGAAGATCCAACAACTCATGTCCTCACCTTCCCCCGCTCCCCACGTCACTCTGAAGACTCCCTGGAAGCTTCCAGAGTCCTGGGACAAGCACGCTCTCCAAACAGAACATCCCCACAGCCAGTCTCTAAACCCCAAGCCGGTCCGTCTAGAGCAACTTCCACTTCAATCCACAAATCTAGAGATCCTCATTTGACCCTTTTCCCCAACGACGGCTGTAAAATCAGTCTGCTTAGGTATGTGAGTTGTTTAACGCTTCAGACAATTCCTAAAGAAATCACTGAGGGGCAGTCTTGTGCCTGGAATCAGGGCTTGCCAATTAGTGGGATGTAAAATTCTAGAGTCTGTGGCTAGCATTCTAAAACAGGGTTAGAACGCCCGAGAGGACGTCAGCATGCAGGGTTCACGATAAGGCGGTAACCCGCTCTTCTCCCTTAATGAAATAAAACCAAAGAGAAAAACCACCGCTTTTGATAAGGGTGCATTTTGCTTCCTGCAACCCGTTTCTGTGAGATACATGCACGCATACACCAAGTCCTAATGTAAAGAACACAGCTCGCTGTCTGTGGTCCCCGAAAAGGTTTGAGAAGTTCTGCTGCCAATGGCATGAAAAGCTTTTCCGAGGAGAGATACCAATGTTTTCAAAACGTTCTCCTGCTGGGCCCCCCACTGCCCTTTCCACTTCTCCCTGGACACCTGGCCCTGTCCTCAGAGGGCTCAGTCACCATGGGCCAGGCAGGTCTATGCGTGACCGTGACCTCAGCCCCTCCAGGCTGGGGTGAAAGGCAAGGCCATGGCGCACCCGAATTTAGAAGGGCGTGTCAATGACACCCCCAGGAGCATACACCTAGGACCCTCGCTCTTGCCCCTTACCAGGGCACAGCTTTCTTTGCCAGGCCCTCTGCCAACCCCACCACGTCTCCCGGGGAGCCCGGCCTCAGAGGCTGGCCGGTGGCTCCAGCGTGTGCCTGGGGGGAGAGCAGAGACAGGAGGAACAGGGCTTTGCGGGGCTTTGGTCTAATTCATTTTCTTACTTCTCAGAAGATTTCCCCTAAGATGACCTTCACATCAACATGTAAAGGTCAGTGCGTTGAGGGCTAACCGCCCACCAGAAATGCTAACTCCCAAAGAGACAGAGAGCCGGCCGCTTCATGCTGAATGATCGGCTAAGCTGTTCGTGCTGCGAAGAGGCACCTGAAAACCCGAAGGCTGATTCGGTCTGATGGTGCAGCACCACCACCACCACACACCACCGCCAACCTGCAAACCTCTCTCCCGAACAGCGCAGTTGTGGCCCTAGTAACCAAGCACAAGTCCGAGACGGTGCAAAAGTCAGGAAAGGCGGAACAAAGAAGTCAAGTGACGGAACGCCGTGGGCACCGGCCCGCCTGCAGTGTGGCCAGCCCAGGGACAGGAGGCCCTGACGACGCAGTGAGGACAGAACAAGGCAAGACTTGGGACCCATCTGGTTGGCCCGATTCGACGAATCAGACGTATATTCTAAGCAATCTGCCCTTGGTACTGTGAGCACACCAATGGGGACATTCTGGATCAAACCACAATGGCGACTCCAAATGCTTCTAATAAAGGTCTCCGCCTTTCCATCGCCAAGAACACAGAACAGGGACTGCCTGTCCGAGCGAGTAACTGGCAAACACAAGCAGGTGCTCACTGTCTCACCGCAAAGATGTCGGGCTCCTACCTGTGATTCGATTTTCAATCTCTCCCTGCATCTGGAGGGAGTCCACATAAATGGTCCGGTTCCCGATGAAGCGCGCACAGGCGATCCCCCGGTAAGGCTGGCAGAATCCGTCCTCGTGGTAGTCGTCTCTGGGAAAGACACAGTCTGTGACCACACCAGAAGATCTCAGGTATCCTTCAAGATTTTTTTTTTTTCCCTTGAAAATCCATACCTTATGATTTAGCCATCTCGTTCCCCAGTATTTACCCAAATGGACTGAAAAGGACCACACGAAAATCTGCCCACAAATGTTGATTGCAGTTGTATTTATAACTGCCAAAAACTCAGAAGTAACCGAGCTGTCCTTCAGTAGGTGAATGGACAAATAAATTGTGGTCCATCCAGACAGAGGAATGTTATTCAGTGCCAGAAACAAAGTGCTGAAAATGTATTTTCTCTCCCCTGTGATGTTTTCAAAGTGTATTTATTTTGAAAGAGAGAATGTGAGAGGGAGAGGGGCAGAGAGAGAGGGAGAATCCCAAGCAGACTCCATGCTGTCAGCACAGAGCCCAACTCGGGGCTCGAACCCACGAACCCTGAGATCATGACCCGAGCTGAAATGAAGAGTCGATGCTCAACAGACTGAGCCACACAGGTGCCCCTCCCTTAGGATTTTCTTGGTAACATTTTCTTTTCTGTAGGTGGTCATTGACCATTTACGTTATCAGTAAGGCTTCCGGTCAACAGCGGGCTATTAGTAGTCAGGTTCTGGTGGGGGAGTCAGAAGTTATACACTGACTTTCAACCATGCGGGGGGTCAGTGTCCCCATCTCCGTGTTGTTCGAGAGTCAACTGAACATCTGTCCAAATTTGCAGAATGTCCATCACCAGGAGCGAATGCTAACAAATACTACGGACTTGAGTCGATCATCATGTATTGAAACTGGCCCATCGATCATAACAAATGCACCACATTAACGCAAGATGCAACTAACGGGGAGACCGTGGATGTGTGGGTGCTGCAGGTGGCACAGACCACACGTAGGAACATGGGGGACAGGCGGGGGTGCTGGGCAAAGGCACGGCCCTCCCGCTGGGTCCCCCAGTCTGACTCCTGCCCCGGGGCCCAAGGGGAACAGCCTGCACATGCCCACCACGCGCACGCCCCCACCCCCTGCCACCGCTGGAGTCTGTGTCACATTCTTTCCTGCGGAACCTGTCAGTCCTGCCTTCAGCCCACGGGATCAGGCATTCTGAGGACCCAGACGCTTTTCAAGGGGCCCTGAGGATGCTCCCAGGAGACAGTGGAAGCTCCCACAGCAGATACATGAGGACTGCCCACCTGCTGGGGAGCAAAGGACAGGGGCCTGGGGCTCCCAGGGCAAGCTTCTAGCAAACGCCTTAGGCCTGTAATTACGTCAGTTGTTTTCCAGCAAATCTGTAACCTGCCCCTAAGCCTCGTCATCTCACCCTACGCTGATGCAGACCACCGCCCATTGAAATTCTGTGTTGTCCAAATCTGCCAAAAGGACTTAAAAAGCCCTATCTTAGCTCCCTCCCAGATGTAAACTCTGGACGCTCCTAACAGTGGAGACAAAGGACCCGGCGGTACACCCTCTCTTCAGCCGCCTCTGGCTCTCTCCCCCCTCGGCACCTGCAGAAGCTCTTTTTCTCTCAAAGAAAGGAAGCTGGAGGCATAAATAATCTAAACAAAGAGACTGTGATGCCAACCACAGCGGGATGCCCTTTCTCGTAAGCTCGCTCAGCCATCATTTCTTCGGGTCAAGGATTCCTCAAATATAGTTTAAATGGCCCAGCACGCGTGCTGGCCATACACACCAGCACACACACCCCACCCCCAGCCCCGTGAGCCGAGTTAAGTGCTGATGAAATTAAAGCCAATGCCCACGCTCACCAAACGCACCGAAGGGCAGGTCAACTCTGCCCCGGGATGTGCGCTACGAGTCGCCGCAGCTCGGTTCGGGGCGCTCGCACACTGTGCCGGGAAAATCGTTCAGAGGCGTGTGCTCTGTTTACCGTCACCTACTCCCAGGTTAGGGGACTTGATGCAGCCGGTCCCCGGGGGCGACCCGACAAAGCGAGCACTTTCTTTCCTCCGCTTCAAGAGTCAAGGCATAGAGAGCGTGGTCCTCTGCCGTGGGCTTCCTCCTGGCCCCTGTCAGGTGCCCCCAGAATGAGCAGCGGGCGGGCAAGCTACGCTGAGAAGGGGCTCGAGGCCACTGTGTCCCATCCACTGCTAACTCAGCTCAGGGGGCGTCTAATCTGAACTGCAGAGAATGTCCGAAAACACAAACAGAAGTGATTGGAAAATGACATGCTTCGGGTTTCTGAATTATGGTACAACAAGCAGGAATTACTTTCTAGTTTCAAGCACAGTTATATCTCATCTTTACGGAGCGGAGTTGGGGACCTCTGAAGAGTGACAGAGCTGGAAAAGTGCGTACAACTGGCCACTCAAAGACCAAAGAGAAGCACTGAGACAGACGCCGTCATCTGTAAAATCCCTTAAACCACGCAAGTGAAACAGACCCGAGTACCAAATCGCAGAACCTCAATGTTACGGAAATGCAATTTTGGGGATCTCCTACATTCCTAATGTCCCAGGCACTAATCTAAGGCCTAATGACACAGATGAAGAAGAGACTTACACACCAACAGATTCATGGTCAAGGAAGGGAGACATGAGTAACTACAATATTGGATTAAAAAAACAAAAAGCAAGGGAAGGAGTAGGCGATTGAGAAGAAACAGAGGAAGGACAGAAAGTGTTTTCCGCAAAAGGCAGAGAAGATGATGGGCTGATGGCAGGTGCCTTCCCCTCAATGGTACACACGTAAAAGTCAGTCTGAAGAAAAACATGGAAAAATTCCTGGATGTAAGAAATGAATGACCTTTTTCTTCCCCCTCCACCCCAGTAAGCTGCATGCCCAGCGTGGAGCCTGCTGCAGGGCTTGAACTCACAACCCTGAAATCAAGACCTGAACTGAGATCGAGAGTTGGATGCTTAACTGATTGAGTCACCCAGGCACCCTCAATTAATGACCTTTAAAGGGAAGTAGGCTCCCTTGAAATTGAAAGATAATCAGTGTCAAAATTCCAATGTAGTTACACATTATGTAGGAAGGTAACTTCCCCCCCCCCCAAACAGTTTTTTGCTAAAACTGTGGTAACACCGTTTTCCTAATTGTTGTTCTTATTATGAAAGGGTCAGCCTGCATTAAATGGGCTGTTTGATGGACTGAAGCAGAGGAGGCTATCTCTCCGGCATAGTGGAACGGGGGGAGAGCAGGAAAGAACAAAAGCACAAAGAATAAATGGAGATAAATCGCTTTAACAAAGCCTGAAACTCCCTAAGTTTCAGGTGACCCGACAGCAACCTAACAGGCTGCCGTAACAAAACACTCTTCAGAGGAACGTAACAAAATCTAGAGTACAAACTACAATGTCTGGTATACAAAGAAAAATTACCAAACACGTGGAGAAACAGGAAAGCTTATAACCCAGGGTCAAGAGAAACAAACCCAAGGACGATCCAGATGTTAGACTTGGCAGACCAGGGCTTTAAGGAGCTCTAAGTGCGGTAAACAGTGCATGGAACAAAGTGTAATGAAGATACAGGTAGTTTCAGAAGACACGGACACTTGGGGCGCCTGGGTGGCTCAGTCGGTTGAGCGCCCGACTGCGGCTCAGGTCATGATCTCACAGCTCGTGAGTTCGAGCCCCATATCGGGCTCAGTGCTGACAGTTCAGAGCCTGCATGGGGATTCTCTCTCTGTCTCTCTCTCTCTCTCTCTCTCTCTCCCTCCCTCTCTGCCCTTACCCACACTCTTTCTCTCAGAATAAATAAAGAAACTTAAAAAAAATTCCAACCTGAAACAGAGACAGACCAAAAGATTTACAAACAATAACCAGAGCCTCAGTGAGCTGTGGGCAAATACAATGGGTCTAACTGATGTGCCATCAAGCCCCAGGAGAAGATAGATGCAAGGGGTCAGGAAAAAGGTTTGAAGAAATAATCCCCAACATTTTTCCAGAGTTGATTAAAAAAACAGTAACAGACGAAGCAATGTCAGGGAAGAGTGAGCGGGATAACACCGAGAAAATCACACCTGCTCACATCACAGTCAACCTGCGCAAAACCTAAGATAAATAGAGGCAGAGCAACACGACAAATAATGGCTGGCCCCTCATCAGAAACAACACAAAAGAGGATGACAGCTTCCACACACCAGCACAGAAAATAAATCGTGAACCTGCAATTCCACACTCAGCAGAAACATCTTTCAAACAGAAGGGTCTGTTAACCAAAAAGATGTAAATATGAATACATCTAATTTCAGAGCTTCAAAATATATGAGCAAGGGATGCCTGGGGGGCTCAGTCGGTCAAGCGTCTGACTCTTGATTTCGGCTCAGGTCATGATCTCACGGTTCATAAGATCGAGTCCCATGTGGGGCCCTTTGCTAACACTGTGGAACCTGCTGGGGATTCTCTCTCTCTGCACCTCCCCCAATCATGCTTTTTCTTTCTCTCTCTGTCTCCCACTCGCTCTCGCTCTCAAAATAAACATCTAAAACAACACAACAAAACATAAACAAGAATTGACAGGACTAGAGAACAGAACAGAAAAATACACAATTATAGTTGAGATGTTAACACCTGTCTGTCAGTAGTTAATCAAAATAGACAAAAAATCAGTGAAGAAACAACGGTGGAAACGCTGGCCACCCCCTTTGACCTAATGGACATTTGGAGAACAATATACTCAATGAGACAGCATGGGTGCTTCAGTGCGCACGACACATTCACCCAGACCGACCATATTCTTGCCGTAAAATCAATCACAATAAAGTTAATAGAACTGGAGCCACAAATCTCAGATCACGTTGAGTTAAATTAGAAATCAGTAATAAGAAGCTATTTAGAAACTCTGCAAATATTTTAAAATTGAAGAGCCCATTTCTAAATAATCTTTGGGCTCAAAAAATAAAATACAAGAAAAATTACATGGTATTTTATTTTATTTTTTTAAGTTTATTTATTTATTTAGAGAGAGAGAGAGAGAGAGAGAGAGAACGAGAGGGGGAGGGGCAGAGAGAGAGAGAGAGACAGAATCCCATCCAGGCTC